GCGCCCATGAAAGCTCATGATACCTTTACATGTTTTGTTAGTCTTTAAGGTGCTACTAGTCTATTTGTTGGGTAAGTTTTTTCATCATAATTTTAGTGACATAAGATTTTACTGACGTGCCACTTAAAGACTCTTAACTCATCTTTGGAAATATTTAAATTATGATTTATGAAAAAGTTGTTTGCTTGTTTATTTAACATTTATCCTGCAGTAGCACCTAGAGATCTTGGTCAGTTCTGAGTCCCATCATACTAAGCACTCTACTGCCACCATAACCATTAAAACATTTCCTACATTGCAGTTTATTGTTTGAAAAACTTAAAGAATAAAAAGACATTGACATTCACTTGAAAATTATTGAAGTAAAAAACATGGGTAACCAACTTTAATAGAGCCCAACATTATATACAATGTAAGACTCCATTATATTGGACTTTCCTTGTTTTCATTGGTGTGTGTTTATGTATATTATAGGTATCCAGTACTGAATGTATGCCCTTCCATTGGGAGATGCTGTAGATCAAGAATTTGAAAGCATAGAAAGTACTATAGTATTGAAAATGCATTTTTGTTTAACCTGAAAATTAAAGGAAAGATGAAGTGATATTCATTCTTAACAGGCACACACCACATTCTGACAGTAACCCTGCATAAGCATCAAACCCAAGTCCATGTGAGTGTTGTGACTTAGCACAGACATGTCCCAATGATAAAAGCCTAACCAAGGAATAAGTCTCATACCCTTTCTTTGCAAAGTGCACCAAGAGCCTTTTCCATCCCTGCCTATCTGTAAGGTGGTAAGTCACTCCTGTGTGAGGCTCTAGCCAATGTACAAACCAGAAGCTAGTCTTGTAATTCCCAAACCAGGTACATAGAGCCTCCATAGGAGGAACGGTAGCCCAATCTGCTCAATTCCCGTCCAGGACTTGAAACTCACTCCTGCCTGACAGTTACAACAGATGCTCCAAGCCTTCGCCCAGGGGTGGAGAATCTTTTTTGGGTTAGGGGCCACTGACCTGCAGAAAAATCAGTCACACCCATGTTAGTAGATTTAGCGTGCTCCAGCCCCATGAGGGAAACAGCGGGGGCTCCCCAGTGCTGAGAGGGAGCTCTGAGCCTCAGGAGCCAGATCCAGGCAAGCCTTAGGTTCCCCTCCCCAGTTGTAGCCTGCTCCAGTCTTACTCTTTCTCCAGTCCTGCTCCTAGTCCTGCTCTAGCCTTTATACTGACGGCTATGGCTCTGACTACTAGACATGACTATCTCCATCACAGCTCCTGACACTTCCAGTCATGTCTCCAAATTCCACATTAGATCTAACAGCTGACCTCCTACAGCTTATGATGCCTCCTTTCAGTCAGTATGAGAGTACTTGTACTACCTCACCATCAAGATTGTCTTTCTTATGGTCATCATGTCAGTATGGAGAGTCAGTAAGCTTGAGATCCTGATGACCAATCCATCATATGTGTTCCTCCATAGGAACCCAGTGTGAGGAAACTGCACCATGGGTTCATCTCTTTATGCCTCTCAAAATTCCACCTCACAAGTATTCTTACCAAAGCTGCATTCTTTATCAGGAGAAAAGAAGCTTCACACCCTGGATGTTTTCAGGGTCCTGCTCCATGATCTCAACAAGATCTAAACTTTCAGACACTCTCCCCACATTTTTGTAGCTGTATCTGCCTCATGGAAAAGTTAAGCTATCTTGTCCTAAAGACTCTTTAAGTGGATCATGTGATATTTCCTTTTGCCATCAGTCTTTCCCTCGAACAACAAGGCTCACCTGACTAAGACATAGGTGACATCTTAAACCTGTTTCAGCTATATGCCATACTTTGTGATCTGTGAGACAAGTGTGAGGCACAACCTCCTGACTATTCCCTTGACATGGCTACCAGGGTAGATGCCAAATATTGAAGAGCAGGGCTTGAGTCTCTGATTGATGCAGATGAGATGTTTTACTCCCACCATCTGGGGGATACTGTTTACCTTATTGTGGAATCCACACTGGCTGTAGAAACACTATTCAGGGTAGTTACTTTTGAAGTGAGATAGCAGTGTAATTTTCATGTTTTTAGAGTAAGGGAGTTTTACACAAAGAGTTGGAATTGGAAAGAGATGTGAGTTCTAAGCAAGGGGAGGAGTGTTGGTGAAAACAGCAATACATTCACTCTTTCTGACAGTTAAGATCATGTAGTAGTGGTGGTGTAACGTTACTGACTGTCATGTCTAAATTCAGGAATACTCAATCATTCGATCCCAATTTAATGCTAGCATAATGCTGCCTTTCAGGCAACCTGAAATATCTGAAAGAGCTCAGGTATCCAGTTTTGCAGCAGGATATGTTGGAACACTTGTTTTTTCACAGCCAATGTAGAAAATACGATATAGTATAAATAAAGACAGAAGGCAAGTGAACAGCTTGATAAACATTTTAACTAGGGATGTTAAGCATGTAACTTGTTAATCATATAGTCGACAAAAAATTTGTCGACTACACGATTAATTAGTAATGTTAGCAGTGCAACTGGTCTTGCTTTGGTTAAATTTGGTTTTAATATTGTGTCTCAGAGCCCAAAATGGCATAACTGAGCATGAATGGCAAGAGGCCCAAGAAAGGTCCTCTGTACATTAGGAATGTTAAATTTAGATTAGTTAATTAATCGAATAGTCGATGGGCTTTCCATAGACTATTTGATTAGTGGTTAAGGGCACTTCCGTGGGGGTCTTGTACATTTCAAATGCAGAAGCCCTAGTATACATACTTACTTTGAAATATGATAACCAGCTAGCTTTCTCAATTCAAACTGAGTTGATGAGATTTTTGTTGTGAAATGTTGGAAAGGTCATAAATAGGGATAAACTTAAAAAACAACAAATAGTCTGGTAGCACTTTAAAGACTAACAAAACATGTGGATGGTATCATGAGCTTTTGTACTCATTTACATGATTAAAAGATAAGCCAGGTCTTATCAGTTAGTCCTAATGGCTCCCTGAGAATACTGGATACCATGGAGATGCCTGTACTCAAGGCTGCTGCCTTTCTATTGTAGGCAGCTGGGGGAGAAGGGAGGAAGGGCAGAAGGTGGGAGCCAGTGCTCACAGGGAGTCAGCTAAGCTGGCTCCCTATAAGCACTGGCTCCTGCCTGCCTCCCTGTGTGTAAATGTGTAACCACTGAACATTTTAATTTACACAAATACATGATTTTTAACATCCCTATTGATGTTAAAGGAAAAAATAATGGAAATATTCTTATTAGCTTTGCATTTTCCTGTTTTTCTAAGGGTATGTCTACACTTGCACCCTAGTTCGAACTAGGGATGCAAATGTAGGCATTCGAAATAGTCAGTGAAGCGGGGATTTAAATATCCTGTGCTTCATTAGCATGATCTTGCCGGCGCGTTACTCCGATCAACAGCTGTTTCAAAGGTGAAAGTGCATGTCAGGATGCGTTAGTTCGAACCAAACCCCTTGGTTCGAACTAACATTACTCCTCGGTTCAAACTAACATTATTCCTCAAAAAATGTGTAGACGTACCCTAGAATATTATAGAAAACTGACGTTAAGGAGAGCCCTTTTTATCACCAGCATAATGGTATTTTGGAATGTTTTGCAATACTCTACTAAATCTATCATTTGCATTGACTGAATGTATTTTATAGGATTGTCATTTGTTCCTAGTGCATGAAAATGTCTTGATTTTGCATAAATTCTTCCAGTGAAATACATAGAAATACCCATTTGAATTGCTCACCAATTTGCAAATGCAGTAGTATTCCAATATGTATTAAATCTGAAACTGTTTTGTGGCTGTTTAATGGCATGATCTAAATTCATATTTTGAAGGAATGTTCAGTTGTGGGATTATACTGATAATCAGGGCTCACCAAGCGGCGCAAGCCCCACTCGCCAGCTGCACGGTTTCGCATGGTTCTGCGCTGGCTCTTCCGGGTTGTAATCTACTCGCCATAGGCGAGCCCTTCTGATAATATATTGATCTATATTGTAGACTTATTGCCCAAGTCATGTAGATCCTTGAGCATCTAATTTTTTTTGTCTCAACCTTCAAAATAGGCATATTTAGTTATATAACTAGTGTTTTACTTATCAGTCATAGGGTGTGTCTGCACTGCACCATAGCTTGAAATAAGATACACAATTTCTCAAATTGTGTATGTTACTTCGATGTTATTTTGAAATAGCTTACTTTGTAATTTGGCACCAAATTTCTAAATAATCCAGTATTCCAAAACGTCCCTTACTCCTCGTGGAATGAGGTTTACAGGGATGTTGGAATAGTGGGCCTGAAATAATGGGCTCCAGTACCCTGAAATAGCATTGTAGTGTAGATGTAGCCATAATGTCCTAGTAGCTGCTTTGGAAAATACATGCACTACATTTTTGTCAGCCTTTGTTCTAATTTCAATATAGTGTCCTTCATACAGAATCTTGCAAAATGTTCAGAAGCATTTTATTCATGTTACATCTCAGGTATGCAGTGTATGTCACAGGTCATGCATTTTTCAATCTTGTTACAGGTACGTTTAATGCAGTTTTGTGTTATGAAATATCTATAAGCAGGGCTCGACAATTAGGGTAGTCTACTCGCCCATGGCGAGCAGATTTTAGCCCGGTGCGGCCGCAGAGCCCGGTCAGCACATGCGCAGCACGGTCTGTGCATTTGCAGCGTGCCAAACCGTGCGGCTGGCGAGCAGGGCTCGCCGCCGCTTGTCAAGCCCTGTCTATAAGCATTTCCCGTGATACTCTATTGTATTAATAACTCACAACGATTCTGAAGGTTAAATGGTGCAGAATAGAAAACACTAAATTAGTAACATTTAATTGAGAAATATCTGAGGGTTTTCTTTATTCTTTTCTGGTTTGAGGGTATTTTCATATTAAGAAAAGTGTTTAGTTTGTAAGTCTAAAATGGCACTTCCTAAAAAACTTTTGCGATAAAAGAAATAAATACAACTTTTTGTTTCCTTTTTTTGTAGCTCTACTGAGAAGTCGTTTCCTTGGAGATCAGCAGGTACAATAATTTTCTATGTAAACTTTGTCTCACTTTAAAAAAAAAAAAAAGCTATTTAGTTTCCTCTGTCACCTGGGACAGTATAAAAGTATAATGATGACACAAATAGCCCTTCAAAACAGGGCATTATTTATTCCTTTTACCCAAAGATACATAGCATGCAAAGAGATAAAATCAGTAAATGATCTGTACACACATTCCCCTCCTCTAACCTTTAAGCTTTCCTTATAAGCTTTGATGTTCCATGTAGTGCAGTTACATCCGTCTCCATCATCTTCCATGGTTCTATGGTCTCTGGGATAAACAGTTTGCCCTGTTTGCAGGATGTTCTCTTTCTGTTTCTCCTTCTTATCTGTCAGCTCTTACTAACATACGGTGGCATACCCTTTGATCTTGGGGTTTTCATATGGAAAAATACAACACACCAGACAAGTTGGAGCCAGGCACAGGGTATTCCCCCAATTAAAGGTTTCCTCATTGCTTCCCAAAGGACTCTTAGTATACTTTATCATAGCCACTTATCTTTGCTATTGTGTCATTTCCCCCTTACTGCCTCCTTCATTGAAATACTGCATTCAGGCAGCTTAATATCATACAGGTAATTTGAGGGTCATATGATATTTATATAAAAATAGTGCATGTAACTTTCTCATTCTCCACATGTTCTTAGAGCACTTTCTAAGGGATAGCAAATAAGTTTCTAACTACACTCAGTAAGTACATCAGAATCAAACTTTTAGTGACTTCTGTGACTGGCAAGAATTTGTATATGGGTTTATATGAACATTCCTACAGCGCTCCCCTAATTTAAAGTGAGGATGAGGCAGATGGCATAAGTGAAAAGCTGAATATACCAAAAGTTTTGATTGGAGGAAAGTTTTGTCCTCTGGAATGTCTGAAAGCATTTTAAAGTAATCAGAAATTGAACTTTTCCTTTTTTAATCCCTTTATTTTCTGTTATTTTTTATCCCATTTTGCTATCTAATGTTCCAGCATCTTGTTCATGGCTGAAACAGGAGTTATCACTTGATAAGTTTCATTATTCCTTTTCCTCTCTCCATCTTCCCCTCAATGTTCCACACGAACAGAAACCTGCACATCTTTGTTGTCTCTTTTCCTCCTTAATTTTCTTACGTATCATATTTCTTCTTGGTCATGGTTTGTCTCAATGATTTCCCCTTACACAATTGTGCCCTGGTGTTTCTTTTGTCTTTTAATGTTTTTCTCATCCCTCATCTCCTTCCATTTGTGTATTTCTCTCATCCCTCATCTTCCATTTGTGTATTTTATTTATTTAAATATGTTTACTCTGCCTTTCTATTTAAAATAATCAAGGTGGCTTACAAGAACAAACAAAAAAAATACAAATATATATAAAAATTTTAAATGAGACCTCAGAGGGACATAACCAGCTAAAAACATATGGGCTGTGTCTACATTGGCATCCCTTTCCGGAAAAGGGATGCTAATGTGAGGAGTCAGAATTGCAAATCCGCAGGGGATTTAAATATCCCCCGCGGCATTTTCATTTACATGGCTGCCGCTTTTTTCCGGCTTGGGGATAAGCTGGAGAAAAGCGCCAGTCTAGACACGATTCTCCAGAAAATAAGCCCTTTTCCGGAGGATTTCTACTTTCAAGTAGGAATAAAAAATCCTCCGGAAAAGGGCTTATTTTCCGGAGAATCGCGTCTAGACTGGCGCTTTTCTCCGGCTTATCCCCAAGCCGGAAAAAAGCGGCAGACATG